AAAGACCTTTAAACATTTTATTTAAAAAATCCAAGTTTATGGCCTTAAGAGTTCAAAAAATTTTTATTTAAAAAACTACTTGAAAAATTATATTTAAAAAATCCACGTTTAAGACCTTGGAAGTTCTTAAAAAATTATTTTAAAACTCCACGCTTATGGCCTTGGGAGTCATTAAAAATATTTATTTTAAAACTTTATTTAAAACATTAAAAAACATTTAAAAAATCCACGTTTATGACATCGAAGTCCTTGAAAATTTTTATCAAAAAAGTCCACGTTTAGGGCCTTAAAAAATATAAAAAAAATCTAGGTTTATGCCCTTGGAAGTCCTTGAAAAATTTTATTTAAAAAAACACGTTTCGGGCCGTGAAAAAATATTTAAAAAACCACGTTTAGGGCCGTGAACAAAATATTTAAAAAACCACGATTGTGAAACTTGGAGTCCTTCGAAAACATATTTTAAAAATTCTACGACTATATCCTGGGTGGCTTTAAAAATTAGTTTAAAAACTTGCTTAGTTCTAGAAAAATATTATTTTAAAATCAATAATTTTATCTCATTTTCGATTTAAGAGCTAAACCGAAGTAATCTCCACCCAAACTACTCAAGCGACTAAAATACAATTTCAATCCTCATTCATTTTCATCCTTGACGAATTGCTTATTTATATATATAGCAGTTGAAAAGTCTGTTAACCTCTGAGACAAATCTCCAAAACAGACACAAAAACAACAGCAACAACAACGGCAGCAAACCAAATAAACCTTCTCAAACATTGTGGCAGAAAGTATTTAGAAACCGTAGCTAGTACACTGTTTTATTGTTTTGTGCTTAAGACTTCAGTCGTCGTTGTTGTTGTAGTTGTTTGAACACAACAATTTAATCCTCTCTATCTACAACATGCCATGGCATTACATTTGTCTGGGATAACTGATGCTGCTGCATCGTACAGTCGTATTGTACTTGTGATGTGCTTCAAACAATTCTTGAAAATACACAGTTGAAAAAGGAAGTCATCGGCATCATCATCATCGTCAGTTAGCGAAATCCTTCGTTAGTAGTTCTTCCTTGTCTTCGCCATGGCAGGATATCCAAACAATGTTGTTTGTTTTGTGCACGGAGTACAAACATATTCATTACTGCAGCCCCGTGGCCGCCCACCAATTCCACTGCGAGTCACAGATGAACAAATAAAGTAACAAACCTTTACTCCCCTCTCCCGGTGGCCCTCTTTCTCTCTCGCGATGTTGTAAAAGAGTTTGAAGAGCAGCATTGTCGAGAAGAAATAACAGAAAGGAGTAGCAAGCAAGCATCGGGTCTTTCGCTATGTTTGATGACACACCAAAGTACACAAAACATTCCGAAAAGCAAATAAACAACAATCAAATTAAACGAAACGAATGGCGGAGAATAGCAAAGAACCGGAAAACTAAAACAAAAGGCAAAGAAACGAAGTTAAAGGAGTCACAAAGATACTCAATACATGGATAGAATTACTTTTTGCGCAATGCTATAGCTGGGAAATCTAAAGTCCTTTGAATTTTTCATAGATCCACAATGGAGTCCTTAAAAACAATATTTAATAAAATCCAAGACTATGGCCTTTGAAGTCCTTGAAATAAATTAATATTTTAAAATATCCACTTCTGGGTGTTCTTGAAAAAAAAAAAAATATTTCAAAAATCAATGTTTAAACCTTGGAAGTCCTTAAATAAAAAATATTTAAAAAATCAATGTTTAAACCTTGGAAGTCCTTAAACAAAAAATATTTAAAAAATCCACGATTAAACCTTGGAACTCCTTAAATAAAAAATATTTAAAAAATCCACGATTAAACCTTGGAAGTCCTTAAATAAAAAATATTTAAAAAATCCACGTTTATAGCCTTGGAAGTCCTTAAATAAAAATATTTAAAAAATCCACGTTTATAGCCTTGGAAATCCTTGAAATTTTTTTTTTAAATCCACGTTTATAGCCTTGGAAATCCTTGATTTTTTTTTTAAATCCACGTTTATAGCCTTGGATGTCCTTGAAATTTTTTTTTAAATCCACGTTTATAGCCTTGGAAGTCCTTGAATAAAAATATTTAAAAAAAGGCCACGTTTATAGCCTTGGAAGTCCTTGAATAAAAATATTTAAAAATCCACTTTTTTTGCCTTGGAAGTCCTTGAAAAAAATATTTAAAAAATCCACGTTTATAGCCTTGGAAGTCCTTGAAAAAAAATATTTAAAAAATCCACGTTTACAGCCTTGGAAATTCTTAAATAAAAAATATTTAAAAATCCACGTTTATAGCCTTGGAAGTCCTTAAATAAAAAATATTTAAAAAATCCACGTTTACAGCCTTGGAAATTCTTAAATAAAAAATATTTAAAAATCCACGTTTATAGCCTTGGAAGTCCTTAGATAAAAAATGTTTAAAAAATCCACATTTATAGCCTTGGAAGTCCTTAAATAAAAAATACTTAAACAATCCACGTTTATAGCCTTGGAAGTCCTCAAATATAAAATATTTAAAAAATCCACGTATATAGCCTTGGAAGTCCTTAGATAAAAAATATTTAAAAAATCCACATTTATAGCCTTGGAAGTCCTTAAATAAAAAATATTTAAAAATCCACATTTATAGCCTTGGAAGTCCTTGAATAAAAATATTTAAAAAATCCACGTATATAGCCTTGGAAGTCCTTAGATAAAAAATATTTAAAAAATCCACATTTATAGCCTTGGAAGTCCTTAAATAAAAAATATTTAAAAATCCACATTTATAGCCTTGGAAGTCCTTAAATAAAAAATATTTAAAAAATCCACGTTTGTAGCCTTGGAAGTCCTGAAATAAAAAATATTTAAAAAATCTACGTTTATAGCCTTGGAAGTCCTTAAATAAAAAATATTTAAAAATCCACGTTTATAGCCTTGGAAGTCCTCAAATAAAAAATATTTAAAAAATCCGCGTTTATAGCCTTGGAAGTCCTCAAATAAAAAATATTTAAAAAATCCGCGTTTATAGCCTTGGAAGTCCTTTAATAAAAATATTTAAAAAATCCACGTTATAGCCTTGGAAGTCCTTAAATAAAAAATATTTAAATAATCCACGTTATAGCCTTGGAAGTCCTTAAATAAAAAATATTTAAAAAATCCACGTTTAAAGCCTTGGAAATTCTTAAATAAAAAATATTTAAAAAATCCACGTTCATAGCCTTGGAAGTCCTTGAATAAAAATATTTAAAAAATCCACGTTTATAGCCTTGGAAGTCCTTGAATAAAAATATTTAAAAAATTCACGTTTATATCTTTTTAAGTCCTTGAATAAAAAATATTTAAAAAATCCTCGTTTATAGCCTTGGAAGTCCTTAAAAAAATTTAGAAAATCCTCGTTTATAGCCTTGGAAGTCCTTAAAAAATTTAAAAAATCCACGATTATAGCCTTGGAAGTCCTTGAATAAAAATATTTAAAAAATCCACATTTATAGCCTTGGAAGTCCTTGAATAAAAAATATTTAAAAAATCCACGTTTATAGCCTTGGAAGTCGTTGAATAAAAATATTTAAAAAATCCACGTTTATAGCCTTGGAAGTCGTTGAATAAAAATATTTAAAAAAATCCACGTTTATAGCCTTGGAAGTCGTTGAATAAAAATATTTAAAAAATCCACGTTTATAGCCTTGGAAGTCGTTGAATAAAAATATTTAAAAAAATCCACGTTTATAGCCTTGGAAGTCGTTGAATAAAAATATTTAAAAAATCCACGTTTATAGCCTTGGAAGTCGTTGAATAAAAATATTTAAAAAATCCACGTTTATAGCCTTGGAAGTCGTTGAATAAAAATATTTAAAAAATCCACGTTTATAGCCTTGAAAGTCGTTGAATAAAAATATTTAAAAAATCCACGTTTATAGCCTTGGAAGTCCTTGAATAAAAATATTTATAAAATCCACGTTTATAGCCTTGGAAGTCCTTGAATAAAAATATTTATAAAATCCACGTTTATAGCCTTGAAAGTCGTTGAATAAAAAAATTTAAAAAATCCACGTTTATAGCCTTGGAAGTCCTTGAATAAAAATATTTATAAAATCCACGTTTATAGCCTTGGAAGTCCTTGAATAAAAATATTTATAAAATCCACGTTTATGGCCTTGGAAGTCCTTAAATAAAAAATATGTAAAAAATCCACGTTTATGGCCTTGGAAGTCCTTAAATAAAAAATATTTAAAAAATCCACGTTTATGGCCATGGTAGTCATTGAATAAAAATATTTAAAAAATCCAGGTTTATAGCCTTGGAAGTCCTTGATTTATTTAAAAAATCCACCTTTATAGCCTTGGAAGTCCTTGAATAAAAATATTTAAAAAATCCACGTTTATAGCCTTTGAAGTCCTTGAATAAAAATATTTAAAAAGTCCTTAAATAAAAATATTTAAAAAATCCACGATTATAGCCTTGGAAGTCCTTGAAAAATTATATTTAAGTAATCCATGTTTATGACCTTAGTAGTCCTTGAAAAAATCTATAAAAAAAAGTCCTCAATTATGGCTCCTGAAGTTCTTGGCAAAATTAGTTAAAAATCCTCTATTGTGGCCTTTGAAGTCCTTGAGAAAAATAATTTAAAAATAATTAAAGAAATGGGTCAATTGATCTACCTGGAGTCCTTGATGGAAAATTGTTATTAAAATCAAAGAAAATGGCACCGCGAGTCCTTAGAAAAATTATTTAAAAAATCCCCAACTGTAGCCTCTGGAGTTTTCAAAAAAAATATTCGAAAGATCCATGCTTATGGTCCTGGGAGTCCTTACAAAAATTATTTAAAACTCCTCAATTGTGGCGCCGAGAGTCCTTAAAAAAATATTTAAAAATCCAAGATCATGGTACTACGAATCTTTGAAATTAATTTTTTTAATCCTCATTTGTGTATCCTGTAGACCTTAAATGTTTTTTTTGAAAAATCTTCAAGAATCCTTGGAAAATTTCAATATTTGTATCCTTAAAAATACAAAAAATGTTGGTTATTTTATCTCCATATATTTATTGACATTTATCTTTTTATTATTAACTTTATTTTTTAAAAGCCAATATTGATGCCAAATCCTCCGCCATTGGGGTTATAGTAGGGATCCACATGGAAGCGTGTTGGATTTTCTTCAGGATGGGAAGGTTGTGGCCCATTGGAGTCCGGTCCATCGGCATTATCGTCAGCAGGCTGAAAAATAAAAATACAGACAGAAATTAAAATCTTTGAAAGTTTGTTGTATTAAATTATTACCTTTCCCAAGGATAGAGCCACCAAAGCCAAGAAGAGGAAGAAAGTTAAGAATTTCATTATTAGTTTTCAGTTGATACAAAACTTTGAGTGTTTTTGAATTTCGCTTTCAGTAACCGACCTTATATATTCAAGATATTGTTAACTGTGAATATAATTGGCAATTACGTTAATTACTTAGGGTAATTAACAGTTATCTATTGGGGAAGTCATTTGTTGTATCAATTTCGAAAATAAAAAAATGTATTTTAAATGACCCCACTTCAAAGGTGGGTAATTAAGAAGGTGTTTTACATAGTATCGAGTTTTTCTAATATGGTCTATGAGTTTCAAATTTTACCCTCTCCCAGGAAATATCTACAGGGTAAGATAAAAAAAATTGCAACCAACTTCAGACTGCTGTCATTTCTAAGCCACTCGTCCGACAGCTTGTAAAATTATTCCAGTGACAGCTCCTTATATTATTTACAAGCGTACAAAAGCATTTTGGTGAGAATTTTCCAGAAAAAAAGTTATTCGTGATGGAATTCAAGCGGGATAGTGTGATTTCTTTCTATTTAGCTGGAAAACCACAAGTGGCTATCGTTAGAGCACTCCAGCATTTAAATGTGAATAAATCTGTTGTGTCTCGTACTTATATTTAAACATCGTTACAGTGATCAGTAGGAAGCGTAGCTCGACCTCAAGGAAGTGGAGGGAAGAAAACAGCAACATCAGCAGAAATGGTTCGAAAAGTAAAAAAAGCGAATTGGTCCAAACCCGCGACTAGTGGCTAGTGAGTTGAACACCTCGCAATAATCCATTCGGCAAATATTAAAAAATGAGCTCGGTGTAAAGCTATTGAAATTCCAAAAAGTGCAAGAACTTACACCGCAACAGAAAGAAAATAGACTCAGACTCAACAGAGCTAAAGAGTTGCTTCGCTTGGCCGAAAGTGGTGAACTGCCGAATTTGGTTTTCTCCGATGAGAAAACATTCGTTGCCCAGCAGCAGCTGTAAACAAACAAAATTATCGTATTTTCTTGCCAAAGAGGTCAGCTGAAAATTTGCACCTTCGGTTGGCCACCGGAACTCAAGCGCCGGCTATGGTAATGGTGTGGGTGTGGGCCGCCATAACAGCCGATTTTAGCTCTCCGCTCGTATTAATCGACCATGGCTAAATAAATACCGAATATTATCGCTAAAATATTCTGGAGGGTGTATTAAAGCCTTGGGCAGACATTTTGGCCGCAGACCTTGGACATTCCATCAGGTCTCAGCACCATGGCACTCAGCACTCGCCAGCCAAGAATGGTTACAAAGTGAGATTCCTCTCTTCATTTCCAGCGCACAATGGCCACCAAAATCTCCCGATACCAATCCGTTGGACTATTGTGTCTGGAGTATTTTGGAAAGCAAGGTTGGCACTAAAAAATACCAATCCGACGATCACCTCAAGCAAGCGCTCCGTCGGGAATGGGCCAAAATAACGCAGATCAACATTCGGGAAGCGTGTGACGGTTTCATTGGCCGTTTGAAGGCCATAATTCATGCCAAGCTGACCGATTCGAACAAATCTAAACTTATTCTAAAATTTGATGCTATTTCCGACATTTTTTGCTTTCATTCAACCAAATTAAAAAAAAAATTAAAAATTATGGCATTTTCCCTTGTTGCAGTTTTTTATCTCACCCTGTATCTGAGGTTTATTGAAAATTAGCAAAGGAACATTTTTTGGATTATTAAAGGATATTCCTTAAGGCTATTTCATAGCTCTGATAGATTTTGAAAAATGGCTTTCTTGCTTATATTTCTGAAAGAGGTTTCGAAGATTTTGTGAGAAAAGTCCGGAGGAGCAACAATTTAATTATTGAATACTAACTCTAAAGAATATTTCGTGATTGTTTCGAGCATAATTTTTAAAGGATATATTTTTACAAATGTTTTAAGTATTGCATGCGGGATATTTTCTGATGAATATTTTATGGTTTTCTTGATTTTTTCGACACATAGGCGTTTTTTTTTTGTAATAACTGGGGATATTTTGTGATTTTCTTTAGGATTTACTTCGAGAGATAATATTTCATGGATATTTCTTTGAAGAACAACTTCGAAATTTCGAAAAAAATCCTTACGGACATTCCGTTGATTATTTTTATGTAAATTTTCAGGTATATTTTTAGAAATATACTTTTTTAAGAATATTCCAGGTATATTTTATGGATTTCATGAATCTTAGGGGAAATTTTTAATAATGGTAATATTCTGTGGTTTTTTTAGGAATTACTTCGAGAGGCAACATTTAATGGATACATCCTTTTTTGTTTAATGTTTCCAAAATAACAGTTCGTTTTCTAAAATCTTATGATTTCTCCAAAAAAATTCGAACGAAAAACAGAAAAAAATTAATTACCTGAAATTGGGAAGATTTGCTGAAGATTTTCCTTAAAGACGTTCTATTTTTTAATTTTGAAAATTATTTCCTGACATTTTGAGCATATTATGAAAAAAATTACGGATGTTTCTCGAAAGATATTTTTTTATGAATATTTCACTAATGTTTTGGTGGAATTTTTAAGAAATACTTCGAAAAGAAATTTGCAGATATTTTAATAATAGGGATATTTTGAAAAGTTTTTCAAGAATAAGTCCGAGAATTTTTAGTAGAGAATACATCGAACGAATTCTTCTCGGATGTTTTCAAAATTATTTCTGATAAATATATTTTTTAAGGACATTCCTTGCCCTTTTTGTCCCAAAATCTTTGACAAAATCACAAAAAAAAGAAAAAAATATTCAACTGAAAATTCCCTCCCCAAGAAAATGTTTACTTAACCATACGTTTGACTATGAAAACCATGTGTCATGTTGCTCTGTAAATGCTGTGAGCATTGACAAGCATTTTCCCGGCAAGTTGCTGTGCAAATGTGTGAGTGTATGTGTGTTGGAGGGTTTTATTTTCGTTCATGGTATAAAAACCCCTCCCTCACCTCCCTCCAAAAACCGTTGACTTGCATTTGTTTTTTTTCGGTTGCATTGTTAAGTTAAATTCTGATAGTAAACAACAAATAATAACAACAATAAGTAAAACGAATGCTTAAAATTAACAAATATCAGGAATGGGAAATAACTGCTCACAAAAGACCTCACATCGAAAGACCTTATGAAGATCTCCCAAATGGTCAGTTATCAATGGAAAACCTTCTTCTATCTTTGAAAGACACCTAATTTCACCATAAACGAGTTCTTAAAAAATTTTACTACATCGAGAACTATTGGTACTTTTTCGCTAGAAAAGAGTGTGTCAAATTTTTAAATCATTCTACCCTTAGCCATATGGCTAGAGATGGTATATAACATTTGATATGGCTAAAACGTGCTTCATCGAAATAAAGGTTTTAGATCCTAGATATCTTGGGAGCAAATCCGTTTCAGGACATTTGGAGTCGATGTAGCGATGTCCGTCCGTCTGTCTGTTTGTCTGGTTGGCTGGTGCGGTCGATAACTCCCAAATGGAGTATACGATTTGGTCTAATCTTGGTACATCGTAATATTATTATCAAACTTAAATTGGGTTCGGAGATGGGCAATATATCTCCTTCTGGTACCTACCCCTTAAAAGGTCGAAATTTTCAGAAAAAAAAATTTACTGCACAAAAAGAGAAGGATAATCCGATTTTTTCTCCAACTTTGCGAATGGTTAGTACTGATGCAAATAAATGCCTGGACAATATCGCTCCACTCCATGAAGTACCTCCCCTAAAAAGGGTTAATATTTTTTTTTAATAATTATAACTCTTATAAAATGTGATGTTAAATCCCGATTGTCTTCAAATAACACACATCCGAATATTTTTTTTAACCCAAGGTCAGGTGCGAAAATGGACAATATCGGTCCACTCCTTCTGGTACCTCCCCCACAAAGGATCAAAATTTTGAATAACCATGAAGTCCATAAAACGCGAAGTTAACATCCGATTCCATGCAGACTTGGTACATCGCAATATTTCCATCAACACAAAATCTGTTATAAGGATAGTAGAGATCGGACAATTCCTTCTGGTACCTCCCTAACCAAAACGATAATAAAATCCGAAATAATCAACCGGATCTCTTCAAATTTCACACATTCCATTGTTTCTACAAACACAATATCTGCGGCGATGATGGAAATATCTCTGGTATATCCTCCACAAAGGCACAAAATTCTGAATATCCATGAAGCTCATAAAACATGAAATGAACCTCCATTTTCATTCAGACCTGTTACATCTCAATATTTCCATAAACACAAGATCCGTTATAAAGATGGTAGAGTTCGGACCATTTCTTTTGGTACCTCCACCACAAAGGGTCAACGTTTCGAATAACCAAAACGATCATAAAATCCGAAATAATCACCCGGATCTCTTCATATTTCACACATGGCATTATTTTTACTAACAAAAGATCTGCTGAAAAGATGGGACATATCGGTCCACTCTTTCTGGTGCCTTCCCCACATAGGGTGAAAATTTTGGCTATCCATGAAGTCCATAAAACGCGAAATTAACATCCGATTCCATTCAGACTAGGTACATCTAAATATTTCCATTAACAAAAGCTCTTATATGAAGATGGTAGAGATCGGACCATTCCTTCTGGTACCTCCCCCACAAAGGGTCAAATATTTGAATAACCAAAACGATCATAACATCCGAAATAAGCACCCAGTTCTCTTCAAATTTCACACATTCCATTATTTCTACTAACTCAAGATCTGCTGTGAAAATGGGACATATCAGTGCACTCCTTCTGGTACCTCCCCCACTAAGGGTTCATAATTTTGAATAACCATGAAGTCCATAAAACGCGAAATTAATATCCGACTTGGTACAACTCAATATTTCCATCAACACAAGATCTGTTATAAAGATGATAGAGATCGGACCATTCCTTATGATACCTCCCCCACAAAAGGTCAAAGTTTTGAATGACCAAAACGATTATAAAATCCGAAATAATCACCCGGTTCTCTTCAAATTTCACGCATTCCATTATTTCTACTAACACAAGATCTGCTGTGGACGTATCGGTCAACTCCTTCTAGTACTTCCCCACAATGGGTTAAAATTTTGAATAACCATGAAGTCCATAAAACGCTAAGTTATCATCCGATTCCATGTAGACTTGGTACATCTCAATATTTCCATCAACACAAGATCCCTTATAAAGATGGAAGAGATCGCACCATTTCTTCTGGAACCTCCCCCAAAAAAGGTCAACACAACACAAGATATGCTTGTGAAGATGGGATATATCGGTCAACGGCTCCTGGT